ACATCACCTCACAGAGTTAGAACGGCCACCATCCAAAAGACAAGAAATAACAAGTGCTGGCGAGGATGTGGAGAAAAGGTAATCCTCCTGCCCTGTTGGTGGGAATGTCAATTGGTACAGCCACTGTGGAAAGCAGTATGGAGATTCCTCAATAAACTAAAAATAGAAATGCCGTATGATCTAGCAATTCCATTTCTGTACATTAATCTGAAGAAAATGAAAACACTAATTGGAAAAGATATATGCACTCCAATGTTCACTGGAGAATTATTTGCAATAGCCAAGACATGGAAGTGTCCATCAGCAGATGAATGGATAGAGAAGCGGCAGGACGTATACACAATGGAATACTACTCAGCCATTGAAAAAATGAAGCCTTGCCATTTGCTACAACATGGATGGAAATAGAGGGTACTATGCTAAGTGAAATAAATATGCCAGGCAGAGAAAGACAAATATCACATGGTTTCACTTATGTGTGGAATCTAAAAAACAAAACAAATAAACAAGTGAAACAGAAATAGACCCGTAAATACAGAGAACAGACTCGTGGCTGCCAGAGGATGGCAGTGGAAGTGGGTGAAACAGGTGAAAGGGATAAAGAGTATAAGCTTCCAGTTTTAAATCAAGTACATCATAGGGAATATATTCAATAATATTGTAATAACTTTGCGTCATGATGACTTATTGTGGTAATCATTTTGTAACATATATAAATGTCAGATCACTGTGTTGTGCACCTGAAACTAATACAATGCTGTATGTCAACTACTTTGATATAAAATAAATAAAAAATATTCTAGTGCTAGGGGACAAAATCTGTTTCTCTATGAGATATGGATGTTATATAATGATTATTAAAATGTTGGTACAATGCCAAGATTGCTCTTTTTGTCTTTTTCATCAGGTTCATAGAAAACAAAATTTTCTCATTCATAAAAAATTTGCAAACAAAATACACCTTCTGAAAGTATATTTAAAAAACTTTCTTTCATCATTCTGGATCAACTATTTATATTTTTAAAGTCAAAGTTGACAACATATCTTCAAAAGCAGATATACTGGTTGTTCAATTATACAAAAACATTCTGTCCAGCACATGACCTGGAGTATGACTATGGGCAGTTCTGCAAAATACATGGAACTAGAGCACATAGGAGATATTTTGAGAAATATTTAATTATAGTGAAAAAAAGAATATTAGAAGAGCATAAGATGGATATCATTTCCTGAGAACAGACTGAAAACTGGCTTCTTCTTCTTTTTGCCTTTTTCATCAGGTTCATAGAAAACATAAAATTTTCTCATTCATAAAAAATTTGCAAACAAAATACACCTTCTGAAAGTATATTTAAAAAACTTACTTTCATCGTTCTGGATCAACTATATTTTTAAAGTCTAAGTTTACAACCTATCTCCAAAAGCAGATACACCGGTGCTGCGGGGAAGACGGGAGGCCTGAGGAATGCTCGGGACACTGGGAACCTCTGGTCCAGCTGGAGACGTAAGCCAGGCCTGGCTGCAGAGTGGGGGCTCAGTGCAGGGGGGGGGGGGTCCCTGCATCCTCCGAGCATGCATGTCACTCACGTGGCGGGCGCTGCATGAGAAGGGGGGTCACTGCTCAGAAAGTGAGTTTCGAGCAGGCTTTGGCGGGGAGGATGGGAACACCTGGGGTCCTAACAAGGAATCGGGAGTGACCAGAGGAGGCCGAGGGACACAGAAGAGCCACTAAATATTTGCAGCATTCCAGACCCCATCTGCACGTTGTTGCATCGAATCCTCGCAGCGTCCTATGAAGTGAATACTCTTTCGCCCATTTTTCAGAAAGGGGCTTTGGGGTGCCCACTGAGGTCCCCAGATCTGTGCCTCTCCACTGCACACCTCCTCCTGGAAGCTTTAGAGGTGGACGGCGCAGCCCCCGTGAGCCGCGTCCTTACCTGGGAATGAGCTGGAGTCACGAGGCAGTCGCTGCGCCTTCCGAACGAAATCGCGGTCTCGGAGGCTGTCCCTCCACGGTTTGCCGGGCAGCCCCGCCTCCTCATCCATGAATCTTTGAGGTATTTCATGAATGTCATCGAGTTTGATCCTTTGTTACCTTGACTTACGAGGTCTTTTTTTCCTCATGGCAATTGTTTCCAAATTTATAAGTGAACAGTCTGGTCAGTGTGGACCTGTGCCTGCACCGTTTGAAAAACATAGCTCCTGGCCTCACCTTCCCAAGGCTTGGCTCATGGTCCCTTCCTGACGAGAGCGCGGTTTCACCAGGGCCCAGATCAGCTCCGGCATCAGCGGGGGTGCAGGAGAGCATAAATATTATTTCATATACACGTATTTCATCTACTTTTTTGCACTTTTGGATAAATTCAGAACTTGAACATGAATCAAAGGGCATGCAAATTAATACTTTTGATATACGTAGTGCTAATTTTCCTTCCTAGAAACTTCATGTCAATTTATATTGTAACTAATGTTATATGAGTGCATCTATTCCCATATACTCTTAAGCACTCACTAAATGCAGGCAAAATAATTGGCAAAACTGATATTTTGGTGTTGTTTTCATTTGTATTTCTTTGATTATTACTGATGTTGGGCATGCTTTCTTTTGATTAATGTCTATTTGTATTTCTGTGAATTGTCTTATATTCTCCCCACTGCTTTAACACAAGTGTGTATCTTATTTATTTCTAAGATCTATTTTTATATTATGGCTCCTAATTCATTGCCATATGTGTTGGAAATATTCTTTCCACAGTCATTTGTCAACTATGTTATTAAAATCAGGCCATTTTCATATTAATTTTTAATATATCTGGAATTTATTTTGGTGTAATATAAGAATCTAACCTACTTTCCCCCCAGATGGTTCGATTTTCCCAGCATCGTTTGCTAAATAATTCATTGTGGTGGATCGACTGCAGTGCTGGCCCCAATCTGCTCACGTCTCCCTGAATCCCAGCTCTCCACTGGCTCTGGGCTTGGACATGAATGTGCTCTGGCTGGTGGGACAGTGGCAAACGTGATTCAAGCAGAGACTTGGAAATGCTTGTGCCCTGAGGCCTCCCCATTTAGGTCACTCAGAGCTCTGCTGGTTTATCAACAAACCCAGGTTAGCTGGCTGGGTGATAAAAGACATGCAGCCCAGTCTCCTGTTACTCCCAGTGAGTCGTGAGGCTGATGAGTGGAGCCATTCAACACCAGTCAGCTCCCACCAGCCCACCACGGGCCGGGGATTACGCCCAGTCGATCAGCCAAGCCTGGCCCAGCCCCAGCCCTCCACCCGGCCTCTCCGGCCCTGCCATATTGCCGAAGCACCGAGTCGTGGGCTGAACAAATTGTTCTTATTTTAACCTATTTTTGGGTGGGGTGTTTCTCAATATGAGGTAATTGGTGCAACCATCTTTCCCGTCCTGATTTGAGCTTCCATACACTAAATTCCCATTTATACAGTGTCTGATTCCGAGTTCCTTATTCTGCTCCTTTGATCTATTTTCTTCTTCTTCTGGTAACCTTACACTCTTAAAATCATTGTAGCTTTGTGGCATATTTTACTGTTTGGTAGGTTAATTTCTCCACCACCATGATTTTTTGCTTTTAATGTAGAAGAGCTTGTCAAATTCTCCAAAAAAGACTCGGTAGGATCTTATTTTTAATTGCATTAGTTTTTTGGAATATTTTGAATTTTCAATGCAGAGGTTCGTGAAGTCTCTTACCTACTTTTATATCTTTCCGTAACATTGAACATTTTCCTTCGTAGAGGTCCCATGCAAACCTTGTTATACTTTTTAGCTATTGTATCAGTCAGGGTTCAACCAAAGCAGCAGAACCGGAAGGAGGTATATATGAAAAGATTTGTTATAAAAAATTGGTTTATGCAGTTGTGGAGGCCAGGTAGGCCATCCGAATCCATAAGGCTATTGAGAAGGGCAGGCTGGGACTCCTCGGCCTGGGCAGAGACTACTGACCACAGGGAATTCTTTCTCCTAGGAAACCTTAATTCTTCTTTTAAGGCTGTAAGGGGATTGAATGAGGCTCCTCAGATCACCTAAAATAGTGTCCCTTACTTCACAGTCAACTGATTATGGATTTTAGTCATGTTTACAAAATGCTTTCAAAGTAACACCTAGATTAGTGTTTGATTCAATACTGAGGGTATTTATTAATTTAGCCCAGTTGACACATAAAAAAATACCATATCATTTATACTTGTTTTTTGTTCTGTTTTTCATCACATTTTCTGTTAATTGATTTTCAATAGAAAAGAAGTGATTTAAAAAAGGTTTTTATTGTGTTTTGTGCCGCTATGCTTTAATTATATTTGTCTTTTTGATTTCAAATAAGAATAATATTTTCACTTCTAATATTTTTGTTTTTTCTGATCTTATGTCATTGGTCAGAACCTTTAGAAAAATCTTGAACAGAATGATAGGACTTCTGCTCCTATGGACCTTCAGGGTGTTATGCTATGTGAAATAAGTTAGGCAGAGAAAGAAAATACTGTGTTGTTTCACTTATATGTGGAATCTAAAAAACAAACACACAAACTCGTATAAAAAATGAAACCAGATAGCAGCTACCAGAGGTGGGGTGTGTGGTGGGGCGGAATTGGATGAAGGTGGGCAGAAAGTACATATTTCCACTTGTAAGATACGTAAGCCCTGGGGACGTGATGTGCAGCGTGGGACAGTAGTTAACACTATGGTTTATCTGAAAGCTGTTGAGAAAGAGCCTAAGAGTTGTCGTCACAAGGATAAAACGTTTTTCTTGTTGTGTCTCAATGAGATGATGGATGTTAACGAGGCTTTTCTGCAGCGATCATTTCACAGTATATGCAAGTCAGATGGTCATGCTGTGCACCTTGACATCTGTAGGTCAGTCACAGATGGTCCCTGACTTACAACGGTTCAACTTAACAATTTTTTGATGTTGTAATAGTGTGAAAGCAATAGACATTTAGTGGACACCCTCCTTAGCAATTTGAATTTTGATCTTTTCCGCAGCTGGTGATGTGCGGTGTGATCGTCTTGTAGTGCTGGGCCGGGCAGCGAGTGCAGCTCCCGTCAGCCAGGTGGTCGCACAGGTGAGCATCCGATGCACTCACAACCCACACACATTGTGCTTTTCACTTTCAGTACAGTAGTCAATGAATCACACGACGTGTTCCACACTTCACAGTAAAACAGGCTTTGTGCTACAGCTCCAGGCTAATGTAAGTTTTCTGAGCATGTTTAAGGTGGGCTGGGCTAAAGTATGCTATTCGGTAGGTTATGTGTGATACATGCATTTTTAACTTAATGATATGTTTGACTTATGATGGATGAGTTTATTGCTATGTAACCCTGGTTGCAAGTCAAGGAAGATCTGTACATTTCAATAAAACTGGAAAAAAGAAAGAAAAATGACTAGTGACCACTGGTCCCTATAGAGTGACCCAAGGGTCAGTGCTAGTAGACATATTTGGTTACTTCAGTTCAGTGAAAATCTCTGATCATAGAATAATTTTTTTTTTTTTAAAAGACTGCTTTAGAAGTTTCAGACTCAGTTGTTTAGACCAATCACTTTGTTGAGCCAATTAAAAAAATCCTGTGTGAAACATAAAAAAAGGAATTAGAGGGAAAAACCCAGAATTCGAGTCAGGCGTTCGGGTCCACTTTTTCCCAGGGAGTGTTTCCTGATCACGAGGAGACAGCAGAGAGGTGAGCTGTGCTTCCAGGGGCCAGTGGGGCAAGGGTTGCGGTCGGGGCCAGGGGTGTGGGCCTGGTAAACCCCCTCCCCTGTGGGACAGTGCCTCAGACCCCCGCCTGTTGGAGGAAAGAGAGTCAGAATCTAGCCTTGCATGGATTTTGACCCAGATTCCAGCAATCTGGGTGGCCAGCAAAATTCCGAGCCCTTACTTGGGTGGAGGTGGCCCAGACAGCTGGGGCCCCAGGGGCTCCGCAAGAGCAATTCACCAAAAATTCTCTTTGGAGGAAAGTGACGTCATTTTGGTCTCAAGTTACTTCAAGTGATTTTTCAAATAAAATAGCATACAGTCGGGAGGAGGCCCGCAAATGATAGGCGGATGGACAGGAGCCAATAGTAATAACGAACAACAGAAACTAACTTAGCCTCCAGATATGGGATCTCCCAGCAGAGAGCGGCCGGAAGCCCCTTGTTCTGTCCCTTGTTGCTTTGGAAGGAAATCATTTGTGTCTCACTGTTAATCATGACATTTGCTCCTGGCTGCTCACAAATGCCAGCCTCCGAGGCAGAGCGCTCTCTTCCTCTTAATTTTAAAAACTGAATCAGTAACAGATACTGAATCAAACCGGATCTCTTTCTGTCATGTGATCTGATCATGACTTTTTTCATGAGCTTTGTGGATTTCCTAACATTAAATCATCACTGCACTGCGGAAGTAAATCCTGTTTGGTGTTAGTGTGTTTTTATTTTATTTGTTAACATTCTTATATTTATGCTTATAACTGAGATTGGTATGTGCTTTTTTTTTTAGCTATCCGTCAGATTTTGGTATTGGGATCATAAAGAGAATTGAAACATTTTTCCAGCAGTTTTCTGTGGTGTGTAGTTATGTTTGAGGTGGTCAGAATTAGTAAAGAGCATCTAATTTCATTGGTCTATTAAATTTTAGATTCTACTCTTTTTGGCTTATAATCGTAGGGGTTTATCATTTGGTTCATCATTGAGTTTCCTTGTCACTGTGTTTTGTTGCCGTGAGCTGATCGCGCCCTCAGGATAAGTGAGTTCGTTGGTTACACTTGCAGATTTTTTAACAGCTTTCCACATATTAAGGAAATTAACTCATTCCTACTATAAATGTATAATGAATATTTCTTCCCCGGTTTTTAAAAATTTTACTTGGGTTTGTTTATTGCATTTTTCCTATAGAAATTTACAATTTTAAATCAGTTTTCTCAATCTATTTAATGTTTCCTATGTTTTGTTTTGCTGGGGAAGGCTTTCCTCGTTCTCAGATTATCTTTAAAATTCCCGTATTTTTCCTCTTCTATCATTTTTTTTGATGTTTAAATTGGTGATCTATTTGGAATTTTATTGAATGAAGGGTGAGGAAAGAATCCAATTATTTCTTCAAGATGGCTATGATAAATTGTAAAACATGATTTAATGAATATTTTTACTTCAACTGGTTTGAAACACTGCTTTTTATTCCCATTTTTATTTTGATCTATGTCTTGACTTTCTGGTCAATTCTATTGATCTATCTTGTCACTGCCAATACAAATACTTTTAATTTCTCTATATAATATACATTTGAATATCTATATTTTCTAGAGGTTTTTGATCCTATTATGTTTATTTCCACTTCATTTCATTATGGCTTTTTATTCTTTTTCTCTCATAATTATTATGATTATCTTTGTGACAATGCATGGTCAATTTTTATAAATGTTACATAAGTAATTTTTAAAAAGTATGTTTGCTGATGAAAGTTTCTACATATAGCTTCAACGTAGGTCGAGAATGGTAACTGGGTTGTTCCTGTCTGTGTTATTCATGTCTTTGTTTTCTGAATGCTCATTCAAATTCTGAGAGAGGAACCTTAAAATCTCCAAATATGTTGGTAGATGTCACACTTAAGCATTCTTCGAGCTTTTCCGTTCGATGCAATGCAAACGTGTTAAAGATTGTTATGCTGCTTCGGTGGCTCTTATCAATAACTGTCCTTTCAAAGCACTTAACCTTTCATGAGTTTACTTTGGTATTAACACAGTCACGGCTGCTTGCTTTCTCCTTCCAGGAGTTTGGTATATTTAATTTACTCGCTCATATTAATTTGCTTTAGGTATAACTTTTAGACTTATTTCCATCATCTTATTTTAGGCTTTTGTGTGTATGTGGTTATAATACTTCCTTAATTCTTTTCTTTGACTCTTCCCGGATTTATTATGCTTTCTTTCTTGCCTTTGTTATTGGTTGACTTTACTTTTGGAGCATGCTTAGGTTTATAGAAAAATCGAGCAGACGGTACACAAGCTCCATCTCCTCCTCCCCTGCGCCCCACGGTGTCCCCAATTTTAACATCGTGTATGAAGTATACTGGGTGCAGTGCGGTGCATGTGTTAGAGGTCATGAGCGAATATGATTATTGTTATTAACTAAAGTCCACAGTTGATTCTGGGGTTCACTCTGTGTTGTACAGTCCATTGTTCTGGCAGACGCATATGTCACCTCGTCTCCTTAGGGTACTTTACCGGAGAAAGTCCGCATTCCTGAAACCTGCCGTGCTCTACCGTCTTCCTTGCCCCTAGTCCTTGGCCTCTGGCAGCCGACCTTTTTATTGTCTCTGTGGTTTTGCCTTTTCCACAATGTCGTATAGCTGGAATCACATATTATGCCTCTTGATTAAAAATCTATTTTTTGCCTCCATGCAAAAAATATAAGACTATGTTTTTAGAGCATTTTTAGGTTCACAGCAACATTGAAGGGTAGGTATGGAGATTTTCCACGTACCCCCTGCCCCACACGTGCACAGACCTCCCCTTTTATTATGATTGTTTATTCCCGTTTTCCCCTCTCCAGATATCTGGAAGTTAAGTATTCTAAATATATTCTACTATTAGATATGCTTATTTTTTAATAATCATTTTGGAACTATATTTCTCAAGTAAAACAGAAATTCAAACTATCTGTGTAATCTCCTTCGTCACTGGAAAGATGAAAGGGTTCCCATTCCTTAGTTCTTCTTTTTCTGATTTGTGATTTCATTGAAATGAAGCTCTCAGAAATGCTAGGAGATTTCTCAATGTCCAGATTTAGTTGAAATATCTGGATTTTTACCTCCAGTTTGAAATTAAAATGTTTAACCACAGTCTGTTCTCATCAGGAATCCTTACTGAGCAGCTGCTCGGATGCTACAAGCGTGTGTATCGTCGCCTGTTCTTAACAGTAAGCTTATTATTGGCCTCCTAACTCATTGCTTTTTCCTTTATACCACATCTTCCTATTTCCTGAGGTTTTTATTCTGATTAATTATTTCACCAGACTACTCCCTTGAATCCTTTTGTTAATAAAGGATAAATAGAAGAGAGGCTTTCTGGGTCCTCCTGTGCTGAGATTGACTTTGCTTTGAGCTCACAGAGGAGCGGTCCTTTTACCTGCGCACACGCGTGCATGCGTGCATGTGTGTGGGTGTGTGTGTAGTTGCTCTGCTTCTCACAAGCCTGGAGGGCAGACAAGATCACCCCACCATCTCTTAGCATTTCTGAGCTTCCATTTCAGCACGTCTTTCCTAGGAGATAACCTGTTTATTCTGAAGCTCATAAGATTTGCCATTTATCCTTTGAATTAACATTTTTCATCAGGATATGACTGGGTAGGTGTTTTCTTCCGTCAGAATTTCCTTCGGGGCAAATGCGCGGAGCTTGAGCCTCCCTTAGAGGCTTCAACCAGCTCTGCTGCCATTTGGAAAGACCTTCCTCCGGGCACTGCCAGGCCCCCTTCCCATCATCAGGCCTCAGTTCAAACCCCTTCCCAGGTCACGGTAGCTAAAACACCCGTCGTGATCGTTCCTGGTCACACTTACCATCCTGCCTCTTGTCTCCGCCGTGAATGTCTGCATTCCCATGTTTATTTATGGGCTCTGATCTGCCCGCCTGGCACAGTGCAGACTCCATGGGGCAGAGGCCTTTTCTCTGTGCTCACTCTGTACCTTTGGCCCCTGGAATAGTGTTCAGCACACAGGAGGGGCTGAATGAGTGAACGAGAAAAATAGAGCAGAAGCTGATTTTCCTCTTTCCAGGCTTTTCCAAAAGATTTTTCCATGTGATCAATCACACATACTCGCAAAAGGGCATATGCTCGCCCACAGAATGAAGTCAGAAGGCTCCGGCATGGGAGGACTGAATTATCCAATTGTAATAAAGTTCACAAAATCTGTGGAGTATTTGGTAGCAGCAGCTACGACTGTGAATCTGAATGAATCTCGCTCTGTGATGAAAACGATCAAGGCCAAAGCAGTGGGAATGTTTTATTCACAGAGAATAGGGGACGGTGGGCTGTGTCTCGGGAAGCCTATCCCAGTTTTCTCCTGGTAACACGGGTGGTGTTTCCAAGGGGAGACGCAGACAGCCTCGCCCTCCCTGCTTGCCCCCCGGAAGGCGCTCTCCCCACCGGGCCCTCAGCCCGCCCCACGCAGGCCCTGCGGGGCACCACCTCGCCTGAGAAGCCTCCCCGGGCAGCTCACCCATGCCACCCCTTGTCCTGTTGGCAGCGTCTCAGTCTGCCCTGCTCCCCTCTGACGGTCCTCACGCCCTGGCTGCCCGTCTGTCCACCCATCTGTACATGCATGTGCTCGTCTGCTGTCTCCCCCTC